GGCGGGGGGGGTGGGTGCCTCCCGGCGGTACGGAACGCTTCTCCGGGAGTTCCACACGGGTGGGCCAAATTCATTATTTGTCCCCCTTCGTGAATTGTTATGCCTCGGGGGTAGGTTATCAGGGAGGGAGCAGATGCCGCCTGGAATATTTAGGCATCCGTTATTGCCACATTTTCATGCAATGTTGCTTTTGGGTTGTTTTTTGTTTGGTGTTTGGTTTGGTTTTTTTTTTTAACTGTGAGCACTCTAAATTCTCTCTGGGGTTTTTTTTCTCTGATTTTTTTTTTCCCCCCAATTTTTCTGTAGAAGAGTCCTTATTGACACGGGGGAACCAGCTACTCCGGAATATATTGGCTGTTTAAAGCAAGCACTGTCAGAGTTCAACATCTCAATTCAAGAAATTTTAGTGACACACTGGCATCATGATCATACTGGTGGAATACCTGATATCTGCAAGAACATCCCTAATGGTAGGCCAGAGGTTTCTGATACTGTTGAAAATGTTGGATACATGGCAAGAAAAAAGCTTACTCTGTGGTTCTGTACAAATCAGCTGGATTATTCTTCTGGAGTATCCATATAAACTTTTTTATGATGCTGATGCAGTAGGTAGAATGAGGGCAATGATTGATCAGGATGTTGTAGTTGTAGTACTACCGTTTTTCTTCAGTATCTGTGCATATCATAGTGAATTTCTCTTAAATGTGAATAATGACAGCCTAGATTACTATCAGCAGTTTACATTACATTAAGGGATGTGAGAAAAACTTCATACTCATTCCATTCTGTATTGACAGTATTGACAAATTGACCTGGAACAGATCATCCTGAGTGCTATCACATGGCATGTAAAAGACAGCCAGGTGATCAGGCCCAGTCAGGGTTTATGAAAGGCAGGTCCTGCTTGACTAACGTGATCTCCTTCTATGACAAGGGGACCTGCCTAGTGGATGAGGGAAAGGCTGTGCATATACTTACGTACTTACGTTACATATAACGTCTATACTTAGATGTTAGTAAAGCCTTTGACACTTTCACACAGCATTCTCCTGGAGAAACTGGCTGTTCCTGGTGTGGATGGGTGTACTCTTCACTGGGTAAAATCTGTCTGGATGTCTGGGCCCAGAGTTGTGGTGAATGGAGATAAATCCACTTGGTGACTGGTCCCAAGTGGTGTTCCCCAGGGCTCAGCGCTGGGGCCAGCTTTCTTTAATGTCTTTATCATCAGTGATCTGGATGAGGGGATCAAGTGCTCCCTCAGTAAGTTGCAGATGAGTTGGGCAGGAGTGTTGATCTGCTTGAGGTTCAACAAGGCCAAGCACTGGGTCCTGCACTTGGGTCACAACAACCCCCTGCAACGCTACAGGCTTGGGGACGAGTGGCTGGAAAGCTGCCTGGCAGAAAAGGACCTGGGGGCATTGGTCGAAAGCCAGCTGAATATGAGCCAGCAGTGTGGCCAAGAAGGCCAATGGCATCCTGGCCTGCATCAGAAACAGTGTGGTCAGGAGTAGGGAAGTGATTCTGCCCCTGTACTGGGCACTGGTGAGGCCGCACCTCGAATCCTGTGTTCAGTTTTCAGTCCCTCACTGCAAGACAGACACTGAGGTGCTGGAGCGTGCCCGGAGAAGGGCAGTGGAGCTGGTGAAGGGCCTGGACACAAGTCCTGTGAGGAGCAGCTAAGGAAGCTGGGGTTGTTTAAGTCTAGAGAATAGACTCAAGGGAGACCTTTGTCACTCTCTTCAACTACCTGAAAGGAAGTTGCAGAGAGGTGGGTGTTGGTCTCTCCTCACAGGTAACAAGTGATAAAACAGGAGAAAACAGCCTCAAGGGGAGGTTTAGTTTGTATATTGGGAAAAATTTCTTCACCGAAAGGGCTGTCAGACATTGGAACAGGCTTCCCAGGGAAGTGGCTGAGTCACCATCCTTGGAGGTATTTGAGAGACGTGTAGATGTGGTGCTTATGGACATGGTTTAGTGGTGGAGTTGGCACTGCTGGATTAACAGTTGCACTTGATGGTCTTAAAGGTCTTTTCCAACCTAAATGATTCTATGATTCTATTTTTGCTTGTGTCATAACAATAAACAACCTTTGAAAAAGAAACTGAAAGAAAAGAAACATGAAAAACTCGTGCATAACTCAGATTCCTTACAGCAGACCATTAGTAATTGCTGGCAAATTCGTAGGCCTCAGATCATCAGGGGGAATAGGGTTGGGCAGTGTGCAGGTAAATTCTGATCTAAAAATACGTATTTCATGTTGATAAACAGTAAGAGACATTTCTGCTTTAGTATTTGGTAAGAGAATAAGCAGTATGTATCATGCGGTTTTTCTTAGCACCATTGGACTTTGTCACAAGCTTTGTCACAGGCTTTATCAGATTTTGAAAAGTTGCCAAGTGCTTGTAAAGTCACCAAGAAGCCTGGGCACTACTGAAAACAACATTGGTGTCTTTGTGAGGATTTTAGTCTTGTACACTCATGAGCTTGGTTGTAAAGACTAGCAAGGGTTATAAATACCTTTTCTGGGTTGCTATCTATAATTGTTCCAGCCAAGGCATTCACAGTTCACTCACAGTTCAGAACAGTAGACGCTGAGGGAAATTGCAGGTCAAAAAGCTGCCTTGCAGTGTTAGGCAAAGGTTGAGTTGTGCTTCTGTGAACCCTAATGCAGAATGTGAGTGCAGAAAACTTAGTGTTGTTCTAGAAACTTGAGGTTTGGGACTCTTGATGAGTGAAGAAAGAACATTTGTAAAATATAATAATTGCTGGCATTTCTTTATTAATTTAATTTGTGCTTTTTCATCTTCAAAATTGCTGCTGGTACCGAGTACAGTATTCACATTCAGTGGCTTTCACTGTTCAGTGTTTGTGGCTCTGGAATAAGGTTGCTTTATAAATACAAAGTTACTGCACAGAATTTCTTGTTTCTAGTTTTGTATTCATACTGTATAATAATTAATAGTACTTGTACAAGAAATAGCCTTTCTGTGGAATTACCTTTGTTAGTGACAAATTAAAAACATCAAGTTTTTTTGCTTTCTTTAAATAGACTCTGAATATCGCATCTGTAAGCTTCCTCGTGTCCCTCACCGTGAAGAAATAATCGAAGGAGGACATAAATATTTTTATCTTAAAGAGGGAGATGTGATACAGGCAGAGGGAGCCACACTCAGGTAAACACCAATTTCTGTAAGTTTGGTGGATCACTTTTTTCTCCAGAATTCTGACACATATATGTATCCTTTTATGGAGGTCTTTTTACAAGGGCCTGTAGTGAGAGGACAAGGGGTAACGGGTTCAAATTGAAAGCAGGGAGATATATATTGGACATCAGGAAAAAGTTCTTCACGGAGAGGGTGGTGAGGCACTGGAACAGGTTGCCCAGAGAAGCTGTGGATGCCCCATCCCTGGAAATGTTCAAGGCCAGGCTGGATGAGGCTTTGAGCAACCTGGTCTAGTGGAAGGTGTCCCTGCCCATGGCAGGGGGGTTGGACCTAGATGATCTTTGTGGTTCCTTCCAACCCAAACCATTCTGTGATTCTATGATCCTAACATAATGATTGGCAATCTATACATCTAATGTTTTCAGCACTTATGCATGTAGACTTCCTATCATGATCCAGCAGGGTATGTTTATATGAATAAATTATTTTTATGGATGAGGATTGTCAGGAATTAGCCCTTGGGTTTTGTCCTCAACAGGAAAGTTAAGAACATTTCCCTTGAAAAATATTTTCTCTGGGAAAATCAAGTGGGATTTTACGTACTTTCTCATCACTCTTAGATAAGTCATCATCCTGGTTTTGGCTGGGATAGAGTTAATTTTCTTCCTAGTAGCTGGTATAGTGCTGTGTTTTAGATTTAGTATGAGAATAGTATTGATAACACCCTGATGTTTAGTTGTTGTGAAGTAGTGCTTACACTTGTCAAGGACTTTTCAGCCTCTCATGCGCTTGCCAGCAAGAAGGTGGGACAGGGCACAGCCATGACAGCTGACCCAAGCTGGCCAAAGGGATATTCCATACCATGTGATGTCATGCTCAGTATATAAACTAGGGGAAGTTGGCTGGGGGAACTGTGGCTCAGGAACTAGGTGGGCATTGGTCAGCAGGTGGTAAGCAATTGTATTGTGCATCACTTGTTTTGTATATTATTTTACTGTTATTATTCCCTTCCCTTTTTGTTGTATTAAACTCTATCTCAACCCACAAGTTATACTGATGTTTTTTTCCCCCATTTCTCTCCCCCATCCCACTGTGATGGGTAGAAGTGAGCGAACGCCTCTGTGGTGTTTTAACTGCCTTCTGGGTTAAACCGCAACAGCCCTTCTGGTGTCCAGCGTGAGGCATGAAGGGTTGAAATAACGACCAATCTGACCCATGCATGCTGAAACAAATTTGTGATAAGCATTCATTATATTAGTTCAATAGTCTCTGGTCACAATATTGAATCATTTGCTCTCAAAGTTGTGCTATGTATATACAGCTTACTTGCTGTATATGTTCCCTGTGCTGCTGTTTATCATCTCTGGAGACTGGATTAAGGTTATTGTTTTGCTGTACAGTGTAACACTGGCTTATCATAGGATAAAATTATTGGTCGTGGAATTGTACTCAACACTGCCATCATCCCCGTACTTCTGGTTATCTCTGGGAAACTATTAATAACTGCACTTTTGACCTTATCTCCTCGGACAGCCAATCTATGGAGGAGACACCTTCCTTCACCGTCCCCTTCTCCTTTTCCTCCAGGCTAATTACAATAGCTCTTGAGAATTTTGAATATCCTTGGGATATGACCTTATGGCATCTTCCAGTACCTGAAGGGGCTACAAGGAAGCTGGGGGGGACTTTTTACAAGGGCCTGTAGTGACAGGACAAGGGGTAACGGAACTAAACTGAAAGTGGGGAGGTTTAGATTAGATATCAGGAAAAAGTTCTTCCTGGAGAGGGTGGTGAGGCACTGGCACAGGTTGCCCAGAGAAGCTGTGGATGCCCCATCCCTGGATGTCTTCAAGGCCAGGCTGGATGAGGCTTTGAGCAACCTGGTCTAGTGGAAGGTGTCACTGCCCATGGCAGGGGAGTTGGAACTAGATGATCTTTAAGGCCCCTTCCAACCCAAACCATTCTGTGATTCTATGATTCTCCCCCAGCCCTGACAGCAGGCACAGCAGCTGAACCAGAGAACCAGCCCGTGCTGGTATCAGTCACCCCTATACACAAGAAATATTGGATGCAGAAGTCAGCTCGTTTAGTAAGGGATTAAGGAGCTGCTTCTGAGAGGGAGCAGGAAGAGGAAGTGGACAAGGCACACTACTCTGAAGCAGGTCCATCACAAGAACAGGAGGAGGAAGAGGCAGAACTCATAAATGAGGCGGTAACCACCCAATCCCTATCCCAGACTGAGCTGCAAGATATGCAAGAAGATTTCAGCGTTGTCCAGGCAAGCACATTGTCATCTGGCTTCTCCGCTGCTGCAATAATGGGGCCAGTAGCTTGGAAGTAGAGAGTAGGGAAGCCAAGCAGCTGGGATCCCTTTCTATGGAAAGGGACATTGACAACGTGATTGGAAAAGGGGCACAAGCCGTCAACTTCTGGAGGTGACTCCTGTCAGTTGTGAAGGAAAGGTGTCCCTTCAGGGAAGATGCTATGTCTCACCCAGGCAAGTAGACCATTGTGGGGATAGGTATCCATTACCTGAGGGAATTAGCCATGTTGGAGGTGATTTATGATAACCTGGACAACGAGCAGTTATCCAAGGATCCAGGTGAAGTCAAGTGCAGATGACCCATGTGGCAGAAGTTCGTACGGACAACACCATCGTCATATGCCAAGTCGTTGGCAGTAATGACCTGGAAAGACAGAGAGGGACAAACAGTGGATGGATTGCCTGGGCAACTTACTCTGACTCACTTGTCTCTGCTGTGGAGAAACTGGTTCAGCAACATAAAAAGCTGCTCCCCACCTGTCAGACCAGTGTCTTTGCTATTAGGAGGAAGCATACCTCTGCTGAAGGGAGAGGATATAGTGGGTACACACCACTGGCCACCCTGTGGTTTTACCTGTGTCACCGTGGAGCAGATGAGGAAGTGGTTGAGTCACCATCCCTGGGAGGTATTTAAAAGATGTGTGGACGAGGTGCTTAGGGACATGGTTTAGTGGTGGTATTAACAGTGTCAGGTTAATGGTTGCACTTTTAAGATCTTAAAGGTCTTTTCCAACCTAAAAGATCCTATAATTCTAAGTGGGATGGAAGAATCTACCTCGACCCTAGAGCTATGTTTCCACCAACTAGCAAAAGGCAAACACAAGCTTTCTTAGGTGCTTTGGGTTTTTGGAGAATGCATATCCTAAATTACAATCTGGTTGCAAACCCTCTCTATCAAGTGACCTGGAAGAAGAACGATTTCAAATGGGGCAGCGACAAGCCTTTGAACAAACTGAACAGGAGATAGTGCATGCAGTGGCCCTTGGACCAGGCCGGACAGGGCCAGAGGTGAAAACGTGCTCTACACCGCAGCCGGGGAGAATGGCGCTACCTGGAGTCTCTGGCAGAAAGATCCAGGGGAGACCCGAGGTTGACCGACTCCTAGGATTTTGGAGTCAGGGATACAGGGGATCCAAGGCCCTCTGTACTGCAACTGAAAAAGAGATATTGGCAGTTTATGAAGGAGTTTGAGCTGCTTCAGAAGTGGTTGGTACTGAAGCACAGCTCTTGGCACCTCGACTGCCAGTGCTGGGATGGATGTTCAAAGGCAGAGTCTCTCCTACTCATCATGCCACTGATGCTGCATGGAGTAAGTGGGTCTCACTGATCACACATCTGGCTCAAACAGGAAACCCCAGTTGCCCAGGAATCTTGGAAGTGATCACGGACTGGCCAGAGGGCAAAGATTCTTGAATATCACCGGTGGAGGAGGTGACATGTGCTGAAGAGGCCCTACTGTATAATGTTACCAGAAAATGAGAAGCAATATGCCCTATTCACTGACAGGTCCCATCCTATTGCAGGAAAGCTGCTCTATGGAGTCCTGCTCAACAAGTGATGGAAGCTGCTGAAGCAGAAGGTGCATCGAGCCAGTTTGCAAAGAGGAAAGTCATCCAGCTGGCATTAGACATTGCTGACTGAGAGAAGTGGCCAGTGCTCTGTACTGAATCATGGATGGTGGCAAATGCCCTGTGGCATAACAGTATCCAGAGAAGTCTGGCCAGCAGGTCGAGGGAGGGGATTCTCCCCCTCTACTCTGCTCTTGTGAGAACCCACCTGGAGTGCTGCATCCAGCTGTGGAGCCCTCAATATCAGAAGGATATAAACTGGTTGGAGCGAGTCCAGAGGAGGCCACGAAGATGATCAGGGGGCTGGAGCACCTCTGCTCTGGGGACAGGCTGAGAGAGTTGGCTTGTTCAGCCTGGAGAAGAGAAGGCTCCAGGGAGACCTTATTGCAGCCTTCCAGTACCTGAAGGGGCTACAAGGAAGCTGGGGGGGACTTTTTACAAGGGCCTGTAGTGACAGGACAAGGAGTAGCGGGGTTAAATTGAAAGCAGGGAGGGTTAGATTAGATATCAGGAAGAAGTTCTTCCTGGAGAGGGTGGTGAGGCACTGGAACAGGTTGCCCAGAGAAGCTGTGGACGTCCCATCCCTGGAAGTGTTCAAGGCCAGGCTGGATGAGGCTTTGAGCAACCTGGTCTAGTGGGGGGTGTCCCTGCCCATGGCAGGGGGGTTGGCACTAGATGTTCTTTAAGGTCCCTTCCAACCCAAACCATTCTATGATTCTATGATTTTGGGTGAGAATAGGCAATGATTTGAATTGTATGATGCTAATCGCTATATAATACCATATATCATCACTTCTGTGATAGCTATATGCCATAGTAATGGTATTAAAGTAAGAATCATCCAGATTAATGAAGAATTAACTTTGATGAAACTGAGCAAAGTGCAGCGATGATAGAACCAGACAAGCACAGTGGTGACAGACCATTATGACAGATGGAGCCCAAAATCATGGACTCAGCACAGAGTTTATAAGGATGGACCATAGGCTAAGGGAAAGATATCTGTGTGTTTATGTCAAAAGACAGGAAGGGTGGTGGTGATTAACTGGAAAATATTGAAAGTGTGGGACCTCAGCATGATGTAGATGGTGTAGAATAAGGGGGGTATTATTAAAATTGATACTCATGGGGAAGTTTGTGGTAGTTTGGATGGATTATGTAGCATGCCTTTCTTTTTACTTTAAAAAATCATAGAATCACAGAATGGTTTGTGTTGGAAGGGACCTTAAAGACCATCCAGTTCCAACCCCCCTGCCGTGGGCAGGGACACCTTCCTCTAGACCAGGTTGCTCAAAGCCTCATCCAGCCTGGCCTTGAACACTTCCAGGGATGGGGCATCCACAGCTTCTCTGGGCAACCTGTTCCAGTGCCTCACCACCCTCTCTGGGAAGAACTTCTTCCTGATATCTAATCTAAATCTCCCCACTTTCAATTTAAACCCATTACCCCTTGTCCTGTCACTACAGGCCCGTGTAAAAAGTCCCCCCCAGCTTCCTTGCAGGCCCCTTCAGGTACTGGAAGGCTGCAATAAGGTCTCCAATATTTCCCAAGGAGACATTGAAACATTTAATACTTAAAATGTTAAATTCTAAAACTTCATCCTGTCAGGTTCTTGTAGGGTGCCGGTTTGAGAGGGCTTCTTCTCCAACAGCATATTGCCTTTGAGAAGAAGCCCTCCATTTGTCTTTGCCATTTGCCTTGTTAGCATGAATGAATCTGAATCCGAAAGCAATCCTGCCTCACATAAACACACAATAAAAATATCTGACCGTTCTGTTTCCAGATTTCTTTCTTTAACAAGTCATTACTCTTCTAAGGACAAATTTTGCTTTTTCAGTTTAGGTGTTATTTATATACCTCTTGTAGAATATGTCAGCTGACTGATTGGAAGAAAAAATGTAAAAATAAAGGATCTATTTGGCCAAATGCATTTTATTTTGTTAGTGTAAAAAAACCCCACAAAACCATAGAGAGTATTTTATTGAATATTGAAGACCTGTTACTACCCTAAGTGGCCCATGTTTGAACAAAGTCAATTTAGAGATGGAAGACAACTTGTTAAATTTGAATCCAAGTAAAACAGTGGTGGCACATTTTCAAGTTTGGAGTAATGCACCCAAACTTTATACTTGGTTAAAAGCAGGTACTCTCATCTGGTTAATTCAGTAACTACTTTAAGGATACTCTTAGATCCACCAGTGGTTCCAAAACAGCAGTATCTGCATGTTACATTCTAGTTAGCAACCTTCAGGTTTTCAAGGTGTGCCAGGCAGTGTTGGGTTCTTTTTCATTTGGTTTTTCATGCTGGTGGTTAAGCCTCCTGGTCAAGTCTCATCAGGAACTGGAGGATACCACTTCCTACAAAGGCAAGATGCAACCCATCATCTTGACTTTTATGTTGCCTCCGCAGGGTGATGGCTCACCTGCTTTCTGCTGAGCTCAGAACTCAGTACCAACTGGAAGTCATTGTGTCAGATGGGGCTGTGCGTTGGCCTCCCAGCCCTGCACTGTCGTGGCTGGGCGCTGTTCAGCATTGGCCTGCACACACTGCTTGGCACCACCTCTGAGTCCCTGATCACCGCTTTGCTGCACCTGCCATTACCAAGAATATTGTGATGAGTTTCAGCAGTGATGCCCATCTGAGTGGTGTACTTTCAGTTTGAATCAGCCCCAGCACGAGGCTTTCTGCCTTTCCAAAAGTAGTAGTGACAGGACACTGCAGCGCAGCTCCTGAGCGGCTCAGGTTACTGTATACAAATCAGCTGTCCATTCACCCTTTGCTGCATTCTAATGCAGTACTCATTCAAGCTGTGGGGTCCTGAATCCTTACCAGTCAGATATTTAAGGGCCTGCACACAGGACAGCTAAAAGACCATGATTCCTTGTTGTATTTGACAGCTCCATTCCACTGTGTCACGGTGGCTTGCAGGGAAAATTAAATTTTGGGAGATAGAACTCTACCTGGGTTGAGTCCAGAAGTTTATAGTCAATTTCTAAAAGAATTGTCAACATCATCCTTACCCTCTTTTGCTAAGTGCAAGGTGCATGTCAAGAACTTCACAAATTTCAATTTGGAAATAATGCATCAGTTTTTCCTTTTGAAAGCTTCAGAGTAAAGCCCTAACACAAATTCCATATGACTAGCCAGCTCCCCTAATACACTTCTGTTATGATGTGTCATGTAAGTAAAAGCATGTTAGAGATGATGATCTGTGTTCTCTCCATGGTATAAGAAAATGAACTGGGATTAGACAAAGTGATACACTGTTTACATTGACGTTTCAGCCGTTTTTAATCCTTTTTTTTTTTGGTTCTTGTTGTGGTCTATTTTGTAAGTGTATGATATTATCATTATCTGTTTCTAGCTTCTGAGAATGAAGCATATATGCTGTATGAAAAATCTATGCTTTTTTGTTGTTGTTCTTTAAACAGAGTTTTGTATACACCTGGACACACTGATGATCATATGTCTTTACATCTGGAAGAAGAAAATGCTGTATTTTCTGGTGACTGTATTTTAGGAGAAGGAACAACAGTCATTGAAGACCTGTATGATTACATGAAAACTTTGAAAAGATTGTTACAAATGAAACTAGATTTAATATATCCAGGTAAGTGGTTCTGGTTTTAACTGCTCTGTTTTACTATGTCATTTTTAAATATCTCCTCTAATAATTTGAGTATTCCTGTTACAATCAAACACCACTGCTAAGGTAACAATTCCAGGTCATTACTTAATATATGTCCAGTCCTAAGCTAAGATGACTTTATGGCATGATGATTTGCAAGACTTCAAAATTTCTCAGTGATAGATATCTTTCCCTCCTGAAATTTCTCCATTTGCAGGTGAACCTTGGGCTTCTATACCCAGAGCCTACAGAGGCCAGAATCTTTCACTGTTGGACTCATAAAGCAAATGTGGTTTTCTTATATTATTCTATCCATACACCTTAATGTTACCCCAGGAATTAAAAATAACAGCTGTTCTCTTGGTCCTCTGCATCTGCCATTGCGAGTACACTAGTACACTGCCAATGCGAGTAACCTAGTACTGTTTTTTGAGAGAGATGTTCATCCTTTGCAGCACAGATTCATCAGAAATTCATCTTGGAAAACAGCAGAAGTGTCAAATGGTTGTCTTAGTTAATGACTTAGCTTAAATTCGAACAAGAGCCAAGGGGCCAAATGTCATGTTCTAAAAATAAGTTGCTGATTCATTCAGTCCTGACTGAATGACTTTGCTTTATTTTTTTTTTTCCTCTATCTCCCCCAAACCTTGGGAATGCATTTACTTTTCATACAAACCACGTGTCTATTTGACAAGACTGGATTTTTAAGAATTCATTATGTAACTGAAGATTAAGCTCCTCGTTTGCTTTTTCAGAGCTGCATCTCATTATTTTGTCTGACTTTCTGTTTCATCTTCACCTTGTCATTCTGAGTGTCTGTGTCTACATTCTCCGTTCTGTCTTTCTCCATTAACCATCCATGTTTAGCCTACATAACCAAATCTCTTTTGTGTTCATTCTTAAAATAGGCTTCTTTTGAAGTAGGTGTTCTTTAAGTGGTTTAGATCTAAGCATAAAAATGCTATTTGAGAAAAACATCGTTATAGGTATTCCATAGATGTGGAGGCTGACAGAGACAGAAATAGTAACTTGCTCATAATTATTAACTACTGGTAGAACTAAGAATATTTTAGCCTCCAGAATCTCAATCTATTGATCAGTTAAATGTTCTGCTTTCTTTTTTAAATACCTACAAAACACAGTCTGTTCCTCTAATTGAATTTCTCCTTTCCAAAACCTCATATATGCCAAATTCTGTTGGGTTTATCAATTGTATCTGTTGTATTTCACTCTCCCTAATCATTACTTATCTAGGTTACACATTCACCATGGTCGAGTATTTGCCCCATTTATCTGTAACTGTTTGCTACACTGTTGTTAGGGATGTTCATGCTGTACTTGCAGTTAGGAAGCAGTTGGGTGCTCTGCATTTTCAGTAATGAGTACTCAAGTATGGCAGAGGTTTGGCATTAGCTTTCATTTTTTATCCATGCATCCCAAAATGTATGTGCAATTGTGTAAAAATTGCCCAGTCAGAGCAATTGTTTATACTATTGGCATGTACTGCAGTAAAATGGTAAGTATAGCAGAAGGTAGTTTGCTTTACCAATACATTCGATATGAGCTCAGTACTTTGACTTCAGTGCAGTTTTAGGTCTTCATGATTCTTGAACTGTTTCTCTGCTCCCCATCCATGCCTTAGCACTCACACTGCAACCTCGGAATTAGGTGTAGGGGAGCATGACATCTTGTAACAGGCTGACTGCTGGCTAGGTGCGGGTAGCTGAATTTTGCCAGTCCTTCCCCTCCTATGTTTCTTTTTCAATTTAATGTGGAAATTACTTCAGGCGGAATGCTCATGACGGTCTATTTACAGCCGACAGTTAATGAGAATCCCTGGGACCAGAAAAGGGCATTTTAGTCAGCAGAGGGCTCCCCATCCTGTAATAAGAAACCATGTTCCTTGAGAATATAGATTAAAAAATGGTACTGGAGTTAGGAATCTCTGCAAGATTTCATGAGCCAAGTATTTTCTTCAATTTTATCCTTTGTGTTTTGATTTGCTGTAAAGTAAGGAAATCTGTATTACGTCACAGGGTGTTATGAGAATAAAAATTTAACTGTTTCTGATCATCTGGGCTATACAGAGGTCTGAACTAATATGAGTCTGTCTGATATAAAGTCTGAATTATTGGAAGGACGGTCATATTTTGAGAGATCTATTTCACATGCTCAGAAGCATTTTACACTTAGGCAGATAGCATTTATTTATTGGTGAAGTTAACTGTCTTGCTGTCTCTGAAAAAATATGGATGAGAAGGATCCACATCTGGGTTTAGTTCCAAGCTTGCTGACATCATTTTAACGTCTGTATATGCGTACACAATGGCTGTGGATCAGATGATATAATGGATATGAAATGAACATTGCAAAATGTGGGTTCCATTCCAGGTACTGCCACTGAGTCTTGTCATCTAAGTCAGCTAAATCACTTGGGAGAGCAGGGACTGGTTTAAGACTGCCTTGTGATTCCATGTGCAGGCCTAAATTTTGAATAATGGGACTTCTGTCACTGGAGAATGCAGGAGAATGGACAGTTACCATTATAGTCTCTGCTCCGTATATCTCAATGTGTTTTTTCTAAATTTAAACTTTTGGTTTTATAAATGGTAGCATAGGTACTAGAGATGCTGTCACAATTAAAGCTGTTACTCCTCTCTCCCCTGTGTTTGCTAGGTAGCCCCACAACAGGACAGCAGTACAGGAGTCCTTTGCCTCAGCACTACTGTTCAATGACCAGTATCAGTTTAAGCCATCGGTATCAATCTCCTTTGGGGGAAGAGTGAGACAGGCAGACAGAGGTAGCACAATAATCTGAATCTCATCTTTCAAATCTGTTCAGCAGCTAACTCCTTTCCTTTTTTTTTTTTAATAGCCTGAAGTACTCTTTCCTTGGTTCCCTTATTGCATCTGAAGTATTCCCTTTCCCCATCTAGACTTTCCAGATCTTCTAATTCTTCTTTTCGATCTTAATGCAACCCCACATGGTGATGCAGACATTTAAACTTAATTTTGGCCTATTTATATGCAAAAGAAAAAAAAAAAACCACACAACCAAAACAACAAAAAACCCAAAACAACCAGAAAACAACCAAAAACACAAAAAGCATCTTAACAATCTAACATCAACAATAAGTGCTGCTCCTTTCTTATGACTTTTAAGTCTACCAGAGTTTGCATAAGAATGATGCAATTATTCAATAGCCTACTTAACTCCAAATCTAAATAAGAGCGCTCTGGTACGTGTGTTTTGATTTAGGTCATGGCCCAGTAGTACGGGATGCAGAGGCTAGAATCCAAGGCTACATTTCTCACCGAACAGCACGTGAACAGCAAATTCTAAACGTTTTCCAGAAGAATGCTGGAAAATCATTTACCTCCTCGGAGCTTGTAAAGATAGTATACAAGGTAATTGTTGATTAAAAGCTTTTAGATCAAACTAAAGAAAATCGAGGTTATGTTCATAAAATTGTCTGTAACAGCTTAAGTATTTGAGTGAAGACATGGTGGTTTTTTAGGGGGGGGGGGGGTTAAAAAAAAAAAAACATTTCTGCTTGTGCAGAATTCATATATGGCCATGCATTTAAATTGTATTGTCTGAGCACTTCGTTGGAGTGGGGCCCAGATGATTCTCACAAACTACTCATTTCACTGTCTAGATGGTCCTAAGCACCGTTTCATAGGAGCAAGCAATACTAAAAGTTGCAGTGCTTAGTTCTAAGTGAAAGGTATGAGATGGCCATTAATTGTTGATTTGTCAAAGTGTGTTTAGAGTCTCACGAAAGGTTGGTTAAAGCTTCTAGTTCCGTTATCAGTCTGGAGGAGGGTGCAGGTGAACTGGGGTTTCACGGAGAGGGACATTGTGCTCACAAGTTGGGGAGCTTGTGTGTGTCATTAGACCTGTTAAGGGTGATTTTCGCTACTTCATAGAATCCCAGAATGGTTT